TGCTGAGTTGGTCGCCAGCCTCCCGGACGCCAGGAACAACGCCCGAAGCCTGCCGATGAGGAGGTAATACGCCGCAGGGTGCTGCTAGGTAATCCCCTCCCCGTGAATCTGTGGCCCTAGCTAGGTAAACAAACTACGAAAGTAGTACAGTGTAAACCGCTCTGAGACCCATTAGGGGTCATGGGCAGTATAGAAATTGGAAATGTAATGTAATGTAATACAGGAGGAGCAGTTCTTGAGGGATGTTACCACACCAGAACTGGCAATACGCAAAGAGTGGTATGGTGCTCCCATAGTGATGTACTATCTCCCATGTGACTTCTCTACTTCTACTACATTAGCACCATGGGACTGAGTTACTCCACTCAGGTTACAGAGAGCAGGCCAAAAACAACCTCAGGAATTCCTGACCATTTAACAAGTCCAATCTGAAAGACTTATTGAAATATTTGCAGAGTCACTCAAGTATTTGCAGTAGCAAAGATACATGCTAGCTTGAACTAGTTTAAATGAAACTAGATAGAAAATAGTTCCATATCCTCCGGCATTCCAGAAATCAAATCAGGTGTTGAGAAATAGATAGAGTGTAGAGTTTCAAATATTGCCCAACCCATAGAATACCTGCCCCTTTCTATGTGCACCAATGAGGGAGGTTATGGGATGGACTTGTAAGTAGGTGGGATTACAGTTTGGCAAGGTGCCACCCACCTGAAGATTCAACTATAAAAGTAAAGACCAAACGTTGGGTCTTTGCTAGCCACATCCCTTCTTTATTTATTTATTTATGCATTTATATCCCGCCCTTTCCCGAAGGCTCAGGGCGGCTCCGAAGGCTCAGGGTCCTCTGTCTTCTTTTCTACCCCTAAAGTCCAACTCTCTATCAAACAACCCTTTTGACCATCCTAGATCTCTTGGACTGCAGCCAAAGAGGTCCATACTTTGCTGGCTGGTTCTAGCAAGTGTGATTTAGTTAACATCCCTAGGTATTACTTTCTTCCCCTATCTTACATTGCATCAGACAAGACTTCAGGAACAGGCAAGTATAAACTGATACCTACCTACAAGTAAATGAGAAACTATCTTGATATCTTTCTGTAACTCTAAAGGAGAAACTTGATTTTATGCGAATTTGAGACTGATTTTGTGTGTATGTGATTTCGATATTGCTCAGTAAAAAGACACCAGTCTCGTCTCCATCACTGGTACTCTCTAGGGCTGGCAGAACCTCCGTAAACTTTGGCAAGGACTCACGTTAAATTTAGTTAGCCATCTGCTGTAAATAAAGCGATTGGCGTAACACAGGGATACATAACCCTAGTACTCATACCAAATACCTCCCCGGGAATACTGTTCCCCCTCCCCTGTTATAAACTGACTAAGGTTACTGTGCGAAATACTGTCCTTCACAGATTTTACAATCTGATTAAAGGTGTACTTAAAAAGTAAAACTGAAAAGTAAAATCACCAGTTCAAAACAGTTCAGACGAACATGGCTATCGACCTGTATCTAAGTTCAAAACATAGTCCATCAGCTACAGACTGTACAGTGTGTGATACCTAGGTGATTACACTTGTTTTCACAGGTCTGTGCACTAGAGACAAGATGCTACCATCCTCAGCCAGTGGCAGTATATCTGAAAACCTTTCCAGCCATGAAACTTTTAAATGTCAGGGTGGCTGGCTATTTTAACAATGGTGCAGCTGGAATACTCCGCCTGGTATTCTTATCTGTGCCCTCCAGAGACTGCTCACCCCAGCCTGGGTCTGGCTAGAGACGCTAAGTTATTAAGAATCCCAAGGTTTGAAAAACATGTTATAAACTACTTATGAATTGAACAGCAAGTTTAAAACAGCTTTGCTACCATGGTGCCTATTTTAATAAACCACTGTTTAAAACAGTAAAACCATAGAACTCAGACCTCACTTTCCATCTGTGTGCTTATCTGTAACACCAGTTGTCTCGCTCTGCTCCAACCTCCACCCACCCCCCTTCTAGTCTCAGGTTTGAATTTTTCTGCACACACAAAGGGTTTTTGAATTTATTTTTATACTGAACACTCATACTGAACATTTCATTTTTACTGAACACTCCTTTTAGATTGCATGAAAGAGTCCAGCAGCACCTTAAAAAAACTAGCACAGCTACTCACCTTGTACATCCTCACTGCAAACAGCTTGGGTCATTCCATGGCATTTTAAAGACATCCCATTTTAAAGACAACCCCTCCACCCCTTATTTCCTTCAGATTTCCCTGTCCCTAAACGTGTATGTGTGTGTGTGTGCTCCTTTGAGAGACTCCTGGCAAAGAACGTTTTCCTGCAAAGGAAAGGGGTGAATTCGGATCTTCCAGGCCACGCCTGGAGTTTCTCCATGCTAGGGCTGGAGTTTCCAGGTGAAGCACGTCTCTCTCTGTTGAGGAGCCTGCCTATCAGTGAAATGACAGCCGGTGAAATTTCCCCGGGTTGAAAAAGCGAGAGCATTCACTGGTCGCCTTTGAACTGACAGTCTGCGAATGGCTGAATGAGTGTGTGGCCCTCCCTCTCTCCTCCCAGCAGGCACTGCGCAGGCTCACTCTGCTCCGGAATTCAGACAGTCTCTCTCAAATACACAGCTGGCCTGGAGGAAAGTTTGCTTTGTACTCTTTATTCCTTTTAAAAAAGGATGGAAGGTGGGGAGGGGAGTTTGGGGGGACTGGCATTCTGTTCTCCCTGTTTTCTTGGTAAGTAGCTTTTAAACTCTTGCTTCCTGTCCTTTTTTAAAAAGGCTGTTTGCAAACTGCTTTTTAAAAAACTCTTGTTTTTAAAGGGGGGATCTGTGTGCTGGCATTCTCTCTCTCTGTGTGTGGGTGGGTTAAGGGGGGAAGCATTCCCTCTCTGCTAAAGGGGGCTGCTTTCTCTGCTTACTTGCCTCTCTCTCTCTCTGCCTGTAATGTATTCTATGCTGCCTAGAATGCATTAAGATGATTGTGAATCATCTCATAGGGAAGCAATGTTAAGCTTCGTCTTGAACAGGGATTGAAGTTCAGGACTACTGCGTCCAATCGGATTCAAATGTATATAAGCGGGAAAGACTCTGGGGGCAAGGCTGTAAAGAGTAGAACTTTTTAAAAGCACACTTTTTTCCTTTTGCTCTCTGTGAGGCTTGCAAGGGGAGGGAGGGGGGACTCCAGGATCTGCCTGGGGCTTACAGAGGAAGGTGGGGAGCATGCAAGGGGTGGGGGTCGGCCCCCAGGCTCTGTCTGGGTGGGGGCTCCCCAGGATTCGTCCAAAAGACCCTGGAGGGGCAGTCTGCAGTAACCAACGTTAGTACAAGCATGGGCACAAATACACATTCACGGCAAAAAGCCAGCACTCTATTTCACACATGTCCCAGCCCCCCTGCCATTTCAAAGCATTCCCCAGTCACAAAACACAATCACAAAAGCCCCCTTTGCACCAAGAAAGATTCAAAACACCCAGGGACTCCATTTTCCCATCCCCCAACCCACGGCCAAGTGCTACACCCTTGGGGGAAAGCCGACACATGGTCGCCACGCCCCCAGGGCTGCCATCTTGCCCTCCCCTTGAAGCATGGCCCTCAGGGAGGCAGGACTAAGCCACTAGAAGGGGGGAGCACTCATCAAATCTTTGACTTGACAGAAGGGGTGTACTAATTCCTCCTGATGTCTGTTGTGGGGAGGGGAAGGGGAAGGAGTTTGTAAGCTGCTCTGAGACTCCGAGTGAAGGGTGGGGTATAAATCCAATCTCCTCTCTTCTTCTTAGAAGGACATTCACTCATTGAATACTGAAGTCCAGTCATTGCAGAAGGACATACTTTGAAGATTCATATCTGAAACATCACTCAGTTCACAATTACTATGTATTAATTAACTATCATGAATAGTGAGTTGAAGTTATTCCTGTGTGATGGGCATTTTGGTTTGGGATAAAGTTGCTTGGCACATTTAAGGTCTAGATTTAGAAAGTATGTCTTGGAGTTGGCTTTTCTCATTGGAGTCAAGCATTATAATAAACAAAGATTGATTTCTTTGTATATTAAGTCTTTTGTCATGGCTCTGCCTCAGTTGGTATTACCTCTGTTTTATTTGTCTGTTGATTAAACATAACTCATATGAGAACTGGTATACTGATTTTATTAAAGTTTTGCATTTTAATTTTAGATATGAAGTTGCTTGATCTATGATACTATTTAACTTTTATGAGAAGCCAGATAATTGGGGACGGGTATCTGAGCTTATAAACCAAGCCCTAATAAGTAAATCTTTCATAAACTCTAAAACAGTTCTTCACCCTTCCACTCCCCATGATAGCTACCAATAATATCCTAGTAAATTGATCTATCAACAAAAACTGTGCCTCCTTCACTATCCAATAAATCAATGAAATCATGGGCAGTTCAACAGAGAAACATTTTTATCTCCATGGAGCCTGACATAATGTCCTGGCAATATTTAGCGGGATAACTGAACTTTTTGTGAACTAACTGTAGCATCAGCCTTTGTAAACTGGGAATTTGTCAATACAAACCTCTTCATCACATTAAAAAAACCCAAACCTTTCCAAGTCTATAGCAAAGTGAGTTTCCACGACCCTACGCTCAGAGACATATTTCTCTTATAGGTGGTGGAGATATCTCTTTTGAAGTTTGCAGACCTCGTTAAGACAGAAGCAATTAAGCCTCTCTCACAGGTATAGCAGCAGCACAACCTAGACAATACAGGCGGAACAAAGTCCTTCCACAATTCCTTTGTCTGAACTTCACCATCTTCCACCTGTTACCCTGTCCCAATGATTTTTTTCTCTTTCTCTACCTGTAAAGGAACAAACGGCAACCCTTCAGATTGACAGTTCTCATCTGTACAATCAAATTTGGAAGATTATTATTTGTTTTTGTTTTTTTTAAGTAAAATTAATGTTAGTAAATAGATGTAGCTTCTTTGGCAAGTGACTATTCTCATTCTAATAACAATCAGCACAAAGAAACAAAAATCAAAACTTACTAGGGAACTAATCATTCGTTGAGATGAGCGTGCAATGTTGGCGGGCAGGCCAAAGAAATCAGGTTTATCATCTTCTGGAAGGCTTTCGATAACTTGACGGTAATCCTATGCAGAAAGGAAGATTAATACAAAATATATTTCAAAAATCCCCGAGCAATTACAATTCAGTGAAAGGAGGGTAAAGACATGGAACTTTCAAACTAGATTTCAGATCTAGATAGAAATCTTTTAATTAGCGCAGTCTTAGCACACTGAATTCTAAAGACACCAATAAAGGAATAATTTTAAATATGCTCTTAGAAATGGCGACGTTTAATAAATCTCAAGTGACCTTGAACCAAAATAACCTTTTATCTTTAAACTGGAAAATAATTTGAAGCTAGGAAAATAATTAGAAGCCTTAATGATAAGATAACTAATAACACCACAGCCAGGCTGCAATTCTATGCACACTTACTTGGGAGTAGGCCTTGCTGAATTCAATGATACCTAGTTTTGAGTCAACGTGCTAAGGGTGAAGCTGCATAATATGTTATAAGTAAAAATGGTAGGGAGTTGTTGGTGGAAAAATACAATGGCATTCCTAAGGAAAAGTTTCTTGTAGTTGTTATTTAGATTAGATATGACAGCTTGCTGATCCAAAGAACCATGAGCCCAACTGAAGACTGAATCTCCACTGCTGTACCTGAAGGCTTGATGGACTTATTAATAGAGTAGCTAGAAGACTGGCTTCTGAGTGTCTCTCAGCCCTGATCAAGGGAGAAACTTTGACCAAGACAGCAGGGATAGCAAAACATTACTTCAGCAGCACCAAAGGTGGTTTTCAATTAGGGAACGAGAGGCATGATCACCTACCAATTTAATAAAGCAAAAGAAAATTAATTTTGGCTTGAATGCCTGATAAGAAGGGAGACAGCCTCACCGATATATTGCAGGAGTTAGGTAGAGAGATGGAATATGGAAATCTGCTCATCTTCTTGGTCCGGAAATTTGAGTCAGCAATGACTCTAGAATTAAAAAACTGTTCCAGGTAGGATCGAAGAACCCGCATATCAAAGTAATTATCTATACGACCTCCATATATAGCATTTTCCAATAAACCATGCACGAATTCCCACTGAAAGTCTTTGGGACCTGAAAATTATTAAATATGAAACTAGTAAAACATGGCACAATGACTAGGTTGCAGATTATTACATTTCATCATTAAAATAATCTTTAACACAGTAGGAAATATAGTCTCCTGGTATGTAGTGGAAGGACCCAATATTCTGATTTAACTGTGACATTACCTCCATTATAGATCCTAGTGGAGGCTTAACTGCTTTGACTTTAGGTGCATCAGATACTGTGCCCTTTATGCCCAAACAGTAGCCTCAATGTGTCACACAAACATGACTGACAAGGGAATGCTAAGAGGAATTCAACAGACATGGAACGTCCTCCCTCTATAGTTTTCCATTATTTCAGATGCACTTCAGAGCCATCCAAGTAAAGACAAGTTGACTTTATATATTTAGGTAAAATAATGAAATTTGCTACACTGAAACAGAACTATAAATTGTGAACTGTTAAACATAAAGGTTTTCAATAATTAATGCCTCTTCTAATGTACATCTTTCTGGGATAAGGTCCAATTTATGAATCTATAATTGGTTGTTATAACTGTAGTTTGTGAAATGCTTTTATTAGCACAGATATAGATTTTAATAACGAACAGTAATATTGTTTTATAAAAATGTTATCTATAGATTTTTCATGAATTGTTAACAAATATATTCACAGACATTTTAATAAATGATCTTAAATATAATCTGAGGAAGGATCTTTTTAAAAATGTGGCCAATATATGATTTCTTGGATAGATGGTGCTTGTGCTTCTAGTTTGGATGGAACCTGTCACTCTTCATTGTTTGTTAAGTGCAAGTATGCCAAGGTGAAATGATTTATGATTCCAGAAAAGCAAAGTCAGACTATGAAATCAAGGTTCCTTGAGGACATGATGACTCACCATCAAAGAGTTTGTCAATAATGTCATACCCTGCACGAAGATCAGATAAAGAAAATTCATAAAATTTGGTCCAGCCCTATAGAGAGAGAGAAAAAAAACCCAGCTGATAAGGCATAAGTCTAAATCAAACAAAAGACCGTCTGCCTGCATTGCCTGATATGAGTTTCTTACAACCTCCCAAAGTAGCATCAATTATTACGTCACATTCCTTTTAAATACAAATAAGAATTTCAGCCCTTCCCCAAGCCGGTGGGGGTGAGTGCCTGGGCAGTGAGCACATGGGACAACATTTAACAGACCAACCCTAAACTGACATCAGTGGGCTTGGAATGGTATAATTCTGCATAGAAGGGCACTGTAAGAAAGGGTTGCCAATGTCCAGGTAGGGCCTGGAGACCTCCCAGAATTACAACTGCTCTCCAGACTATAGAGATTTGTCTCCCTGGAGAAAATGGCTGCTTTGGAGGGGGGACGCTATGGATCCCTCCTCAAATCCTGCCCTCCCCAAGTTATAATTCCACATTTCTAGGAATTTCCCAATCTGGAGTTGGCCATCCTACTGTAAACTCCAGGAAAAAAATTCTTGCCTTTATATAGCTTGTCCTATACAGCAGAAACAATGTCCGAGCAAACCAGAAGTAAATCTTAGCGAGTTAATTTGGGCTTATCTCAATATAATTCTGCACAGGACTGCAGTCTTAGTTTCTGGAATTTAAGGACAATTCTTTTTTTTTTTTTAAATCCCCTGAAGACAGGGTAGCTTTATTTATTTTTTGTTACACCTACAAAACTACAGAAAATAGAAATGGGAAGGGGGAAAAAAATAAAAAAAACCCTGGGGTACAAGACAGCAAATAAAAAAGCCCACACTATGACTAAAAACCCAAGAAAGGAAGGTCATTAACAGTTAGTATTCAGTTAGTCATAAAAATAATAACTTTTCGTTTAAGTCAATGAATTCAAGAGTTAGTGAGTCCGTTTTAGTAATTGTCTATTTTCTTTTTTTGATGTGCACAAAGTCTCTTTCATCTTCTTCTTCAGTTGCGGGTCTTTAACTTCCAAAGAGTTACTTGGGTCCCCTTAGCCGCAAATCATATGCATCTCTGGCCGTGCCACCTTCTGCTCCTCCTGGGTCTCCGTCCATCTCTTCCAGAGTGTCTGCTTGGCCCCCTCCGTCTGGCTGTTCTTCCCTTTTCGATCCATGAAACTGCTTCAACCATTCTTCCGCTTTAAAAACCGAGTCAATTTTCTCCCTTTTGTCCTTATACTTGAACACGACACCTTC